AACAATATAACTTCTCCCCCACTCCCCACCCCCACCCCCACCCCACCCCAAGCCTGACTCTTTGAACACACTCTCTTTCTCTCTATAAAACCCCCAAAGATCCTCCTTTTTCGAAGCTTAGGACACCAGATCTCTTAAAGATGGCTACTTGCTGAGGCGATTTCTCTCATCAGATACCCAAACGGTTTCTCGGTTCTTCCCCTTTTGTCTCTCTCCAATGCATTTTTACGTATAAACTCTCTCTGTATATCTATCGACAAAAGCTGACTCCAGCTGCAACGAACACTTGCATATTTGTCGTATTCGATCCCTTTCTTTTGATTTCTTATGCGAAAAAAGGTTCGATTTTTTATGTAAAAACTCGAAGTTTTGTTTTATTGCAATAACAGAGAGAGTTAGGGGACGATATGTTCAGTGAAGAAGAGTTGAGAGAGATAAGTGGAGTGAAGAGAGGAGATGATTACGTGGAAGTCATGTGTGGATGCACCAGCCACCGTTACGGTGATGCTGTTGCTAAACTTAGGGTTTTCTCCTCTGGTGAACTTGTAATCTCCTGCGATTGTACCCCTGGCTGCCCTGAAGGTTTTTACTTATATACTCGCCAATATTTTTTGTTTCTTCTTAAGAAATATGTTTGCGTCAAATGCATATTCTTGATTCTACCATAGCACCATGGGCTTACGATGGAATGTTGTTTCTGTGTTTTTTGAATTGACGCGTTGCTGTTTTTTTTCCAAAAAAACAATATTTCATGTATATGATAATTTTCTCGAGTGTGGGATGTTCTTTGTGATATATTCAACAATGACATTTGTTTGACTAATGAGCATTTTAAAGCAACTATTGTTTTCCATCTTTAGCAGTTCCATATTAATCGGTTTCATTCTGTTCGATCAGTCGAGATGGTTAGCTTGGGAGCTAATGGTATTTTATATTTAGAATTACGTTTGATACGCGACTCTTCTGTAGATGATTTGGTTGGTAAAAAGTGTGATCTTTGATGATGAGTTCTGTTTATATGGGTTTGGTGAAGTGATGTTTATTACCTCAACTCTTCATACGGCGTGCAATTTTTGTATTTCTGGTTGATATATTCTATTTAGGTGGCAGCAATCTCATAAATTTATCAAGCGATATTGGCTAAAGAAATAACCATGCGCAAAATTTTGTCCTATGACCTTTGCTAATTACTTTCTGGAAGGAGCGTTTACTGTGTGTACTGGTTTAGTTGAACACATGTAGCATGTGACAAGAGAGGGTTGCTCAAGTGGTAAGCACCCTTCACCTCCAACTAAAGGTTGTGCGTTCGAGTCACTAAGGGAGCAAAGGGGGAGCTCCTAGGGAGGGGTTTTAAAAAAAAGCCTGCAGCATGTGCATTCCCGAGCAAAATGGGATGGCTGTATGGATCTTCCTTATCCATGTGGCTCCATTTAAACCCGTCTAAGGGCATTTATGAATTCTGAGGATTATCATAAGTTAACTAGATTGCCCCTTAAGAAGCAACATTTCACAAGAGATATGAACTAATGTATACTTACTTCTCAATAGAGGCACTGTCTCTGTTTGGGAACAAGATACTTAGTTTCTTGATTAGTTTTGAACTTCTATTAAGTGCTAGCCGTAGAAGGGCTTTCAAGTTAACAATTAAGCTGGCATTCTTCACTCTAAATGTGGAATTTGTTTTTCCTGCGTATAAACTAGGTTGTCAGATTAGAAAGTTGAGTTCTTGGTAGAAATATAAGATCAATAATAGTGTAGCTTCTTGTGACGCATGTATTTTTCTGTATGTCACTTGATCATTATTCATTAGTATGTTCTTACCTATTGGAATGAATTTAATATTCTACCTTTTTTTTCTCGTCACTGAGTCATTTAGCAATGGTATAATTTGTAGTAATTCTTACCTCTTTGATTTTTATGAAACAGAAAATTAACCTGTTTTTATTACCTTATTTGATAGATATTTCCCATGTGTTGCTTCTAGTAAAAGTTGCTCTTTTGTGATTAGACAAGCTGACTCCAGCTGCATTTGAGAAGCATTCTGGAAGAGAGACTTCCAGGAAATGGAAGAATAATATTTGGATCATTGTTGATGGTGAGAAAGTTCCAGTGGTAAAGACTGCACTACTCAAATATTATAACCAATCTTCAAAGGCCAATGGATCACATAGATCTCAAAATGGGCGAGCTTGTCATCGCGATGAGTTTATCAGATGTACTGATTGCAACAAAGAACGCAGATTTCGTCTCCGCACAAATGAAGAATGCAGGAGCTACCATGATGCTTTGGCTAATCAGCATTGGAAGTGCTCTGATATTCCTTATGACAAGTATGTTCCCTTTTCATGCTTAATTTCTTTAATAGTGAGTATATTTTACATATGCAGGCTGTCGTTTTTCAATCTATTGCTCATACTCAAAAAGAAATTTCTTCTAATTGATCGTTCTGAATTTTGTAATGGCAATTTATAAGTAGGAGTCAGTTACTAGCAAGTGGGACGGTGAGAAGTATCGATATCCTGTTAAATTAACTTTGATGTCTTTAGCTCATACACAAATAAAATTACTTGCCTATTTCGATCATCTGATTTTGATCTGTGTTCAGCTTCGTGTAAGACTATTCAATTGTTAAAAATCAGTACATGAATATCTCTGATTCGAGATTGCTAGTTAGAATGGACATCATTTTGAATGCATTCCTTCTAAGCAAATGTTTGGCTCTGTGACATCATTATATTGCTTTTGGGGGAGGATTTTCTGACCAAAAAGGACATGCAAGCTCATTTGGAAATGTTGAAAATTATCTGATTTAGGCAAGGCAATTAAAAGAGTACCTCTTTACATCTCATTACTAAATTTAAGGGAATAATGATTCCTATGCAGCATGCTAGTATGAACGTAAAGAACTACGTATTTGGTCATGAACTTTTCACTCAATATATTCAAGACATTGCTTAAAACAAGTATTGTCCGGCATGCTTTGTGACAAAGGGTTTCTGATAGAAATATAAGTTCTGAATAATGAGAGACAAAATGTATGAATGTGGATTCTGAGTGTGCTGTGGGGTTCGTTCTTGGAAAAGTATAAGTAGCTGCAAGCATATAAAAAATGTTGGTATCAGAAAAGCGTGCACAAAATACAGAAGTACAATTCATCTGAAAGGTGTTGTGCAATGAGTGAGACAACTTGCAAGGTTTATTAGAATATGTTGGATTAATAATACTCTGTCAGAAACCGAGATTTTTGTGCAATCAGAAGACTACAATTAGCATTGTGCTTGCTCTCAAGATGTATGGTCGGATCCATGATCAAGGCTTAAATGGTGGAAAGCGTTGGAGTTTAGTTATGTATGTGATGCTCCAAAAATGAATGAGTAGCTAATTCACAAAAGATGTTACATATAGGAAAATGTCATAGTACTTTCTTTGATACTAGGAGATATCAAATAATTTCTTACCCCCCCTCCCCCCCCCCACCACACACGCACACAAACTTTGATGGAAAGGAAGTCCTTCCTCCTATCTCCAAGAGAAGATGTGTTGATGGCCTACACTATCAGAAGACAGGTAGAGGATAAGCAGGAAGTTAAGGTTGACCAGACTATGTTTTTACTTGAGTAGAGCAGATATCAAGTTATTCCGGAAGTGATGTCTAGAATTTATCAAATTATTACCATTGTTGTGATTATGTGCTCCTGATATCTGTGATATTCACGGTTCAGGCAGTTTAGATTGAGCTCCATTCTATCAAAAGTTTCAAGTTAATGGACATGGTATAGACAAGGAAATAATACTGTTTCCTATGTGACTTGGAAATTCGAAATGCAATATTATGAACGTGGTTGTAATTCTGTCATTCAATTGGACCTACTCTGCCGGAGGTGCCATGCCATCTGTTTTTGTTCGTTTATACTAATGAAGCCTATCCACGCTGCTGAATAGGCGAGGAACATCTCGTTGATATGTCCAATCTGCTTAGTTATCATTCTCTATAGTCTGATTTCTTGCTTTTGTTGCTGACTTTGTTTTGGACTGAGTGGGCAGAAAGCTTTCTCTAATACTTAACATGCCATTTTTGGTGATACTGTGTAGTTGTGAACCACCAAATAAGTTTCTGTTTTCTCCAGGAAGAGATTATATTTACCACTTAGTTTTACTTGATGCATCACTCAATTTTCCAAGTTAGTAATGTGCAGTTTGATTTGAGAATTGGAGCCTTTCTCCCTTCTTCTATCATTTTCCCCTTTTCTTTTGGAGTTTGCAGTTTTGGGAGGGGTAATTCTATCCGAGGCCAATTACCAAAATCTGTACACTGTCCAATTAACACTAAAGTTTCTATAATGTGGCTATATTTAGCGAAGACAGACTCTACCTGCCTGGTTTTCCTTTATGATGTGTACTATATTTATCATCCCTTTAACAATACCATGTCCATGATCAATGTAACTTGTATTCATTCTGGACATATTTGTTTGTTGTCTTCTTGTGTTTTAGAGTTTCATGTGATGATGATGAAGAACGAGCAAGCCGTAGGGTGTACAGGGGATGTTCGCGTTCTCCAACGTGTAGAGGATGCACTTCCTGTGTGTGTTTTGGATGTGAAATATGCCGTTTCTCAGACTGCAGTTGCCAGACTTGCATTGATTTCACAAGGAATGCAAAAGCTTGATTTCACCCCTTAACTTCTTTTGTCATACTTGAATACTTATTTCAATTTAAATGGGTATGTTTTTCCCCATCATTAATCCATTTTAACCCCTGTACATGTTTACACTATGTTTTTGCTGAGATTCTCTTTCAGGGATTTAATGAAAATTTACAATTACAGTCAAAGGCTTTATCTTTTCCTATGTAGTATTCGTTTGTATGGTTCAGACAGATCATTTAAATCTCCATACTTTACAACATAACCAGCTGCTGTGAGAAACAATGTGTATTCGATATGAACATTGTTCATGGAAAATCCTTTTTCCTGTTTTGATGAGCAAAAGATATTTTCTGAAAAATATATGAATATTAAAGATAAATAACATTAGCTAATTCGAGAGGGAATGCTAGACGTATCTCTCAAATAAAAACCTCATTGCCACCAAGCATGAGGTAATGCTAGATGTTCCAACCAGGATAAAAGATCCCATTGAAGCATGTAATAATCCCATGCATATTGTATGGACATATGGTCGCACAAATTGCATTGTATCATAAATAGCCACCCCAGGTATTACCCAACCCCAAGGAGAGTTATAAACAAATCTCGATACTGAGATATACCATAAGATCAATAAGTTGATTCAAAATCTAGCATTTTGATGATTAAACCAATCACTTAGTCCTAAGAGCAAAACTGGAAGAACAAATTACCTAAAGAAAGGGTCGTATAAGCAGACATTTGGAACTTTGGGACAAAAAATAAAAAACCTATAATGCAAACTAAAACAGTAACTAGCACTATACACACCCAGACCTATGAGGGAATGGGAAAAAAATCTGGAAATTAGCTGCTATATGTAGAACCAAAGTTAGTGCTAATTTTCTCCACGGAAGCACTTTGTTTTCACCTTCAATAACGTCGCGCCCTCCCTCTCCCTCTCCCACGGCCAAACCGGCCACCACCACCCCGACCATTTCCTCTCCAGCCACCACCAAAATGATTGCCTTGATTGAAGTTCGGACAACCATTAGTATTGCCTGGAACAATAGCAGGTGGATGTGAATTGTTGTTGTCTCCTGTTTCTGGTCCATTCACGGGAACTGCAGCAGGTTGTTGTGAATTGCTGCTGTCTCCTGTTTGTGGTCCAAAACCACCATTACCCTGAAAATTCGCATTCCAGCCACCAACAAAATGATTGCTTTGATTGAAGTTCAGAGAACTGTTAATAGCAGGAACTGCAGCAGGTTGTTGTGAATTGCTGTTGTCTCCTGTTTGTGGTCCAAAACTACCACCACCCTGAAAATTTGCATTCCAGCCACCACCAAAATTATTGCCTTGATTGAAGTTCAGAGAACTGTTAATAGCAGGAACTGCAGCTGGTGGATGTGAATTGTTGTTGGCTCCTGCTTGTGGTACGTTAACTGGTATCTGACCTCCCATGTTGAAAGGTAAATGTGCCAATTGGCCTGGTAAGCCCCCCAAAGCAAATGGTGGTTGATTGAAACCATTTTGTCCCAATGCCGGCCAAGGTGCAAACGCTTGCCCTGTGCCAAAATCTGGCTGTAAAAACGGCAAGATAAAGTTATGAGGAGGTCCTGGATTGAATTGCTGTTGTAAAGGTACTCCATTAGGCAAAGGCATTTGAAACATTTGCTGAGGATGACATTGTTGTTGCCATGGCATGCCAATTGTTGGCAAAGTATTAGGTAAGCCCATATTCCCGGGCTGCTGATTTGGGATTATATTAGTCCAAACTCCACTTGAAGGCGCTGCAAAAGCAGGGGCCTGTTGCGGATGATGAAATGAAGGAACTAAGTCAGTCCTATTGCCTGACCTCTGTCCTTGGGAAGAACCAGTAACAGGTGGGATGAGATTTTGACTTTGCTCGACTGGTGGCTTCATAGCTTGCTCACATTTCGAGTTCTGAGATCGATTTCTGAATTTCTTTTTGTCCTTCTTCTTGTTTCCAACTTTCTCGTCATTTGTGCCCCTCTTTTTCATTTTCAGTATTCTCTTGTACTCAGCCTCCTTCTCATCATCTGAAAATTCTTCATCCGCGGACACCTCTTCATCATTTTCACCAGATGCATCATACCCTTTCTTGTAAAGACTTCCATCGTTAAGGACATGATTTGCAAATTCCGGGACAAAAGAGATCAAAGTGCCTTGGTTGATTTCAGCGGGGACTTCGCTCTCACTATTGTATCTTACAATGTAGTAGGGGTTCTTGACAGGCCCAAAAATCTCGTCCACTATACCCAGTGGGGATCTGCTTTCTGTTATCCAAAGAATAGAACCATCACTAAGAGGATTATGCTTCTCCACCCCTTCTACAACAACTTGGGCACCAAGAATCTGTATTGAACCACATAGAGATCAAATAAACATTTGAATTAAGAATCTAAAATTATATACAAGCAAGCAGTGTCTGTGCTTGTTCTTTTTTATTTGGGGGGGGGGGGGGGGTCTTTTTCATTTTTGGCCCATCTGATTATGTATATTATATGTATATTTATACTTAATATACAAAACATAGCTATTTTTTTTTTGGTCTTACCGCTGAAACAACTCCAACAGGCAGGGTCTGGTGATGCGGTAGCAAAGTTGCATTCACTATCGGAACCGGGGGAAGAACCTGCAAATGCATGATTAACAAATGACTTAATATTTGCATGCCAAAATGATCATTTGTGAAACAAACCCATATTATTATTCTGAGCTGCCAATTCGTTTTTTTGTTTGGAAGACACATTTCTTTAAGACTCTGTGTTATTATGTCTTCAACTGGATGACCAAGTGAGCAAACATAGAGTGATAGTGTCATGTCAATAACATGCAAAACACTAAACAAGTCTACCAGACGATGACAATTAAGTCGACGGATGCAAGTCAGAGTTTACTGAAATGATTTATTCAGTACTTACACTTAAAAAAAACTGACTTTACCAACCCCCCACCCCAAGCTCTTTCTCCCTAGTTCCTATCTTCTGTCTCCTCTCCTCATTTCATTTGCCGTCTCTGATTTTCTTCATACCTAGGTTCTTTCTTTCTATCCGGACCTATAATGTATGCGCAGAATCCTCTAAATATCACAACTTATACCCGAGGGAACTGAAGGATGCAGCTTATGCAGAAAAGATCTATCACTACTGAACAAGTCTAAGCACTATCAAAATTCTATATGTAAAAGTAGAAGGAAAATTACAATCAGACAAACAATAGCGGTCAGCAATAAGTCACAAGCTAACCTCCAGGTCAAAGTACACTACACTGTAAATGAAACATACTTGCGTCAATACCACCAAAAAGAAACTTTAACTTGATGATGATAACCAGAGGCGGAGCCAGAATTTAAAGTTACTGGGTTCAAAATTCTAGTTCTTTTAAGTTACTGGGTTCTAAATTAAGAATCTATACATATTCAATAAATTTCTTAAGACAAATATAGGGGTTAGACCAAAGTTACTGGGTTCGGCCGAACCCGTAACATGTACTGTGGCTCCGCCCCTGATGATAACCACTAGATAAGCCTAAAAACTACTCATTTAAGCCATTCTTCACTTTCTGTATAGCCAAATACTGGGACTTGTATGCCTAATCCAGAACATATGTTAACCTCTCGATATGACGAGATGCAAAAACTAATCAGTCAAGCCCTTTTCCACTTTCTTTTCAGGCAAAAAAGTCAGACTGATATGCCTAATCCGGAACATATGGGACTGATGAAATGTGTTCAAATGAAACAAAATAGATATAGAGGATTCATTATCCAACCCCAAAATAGATCTGCAGCATGTATCCATGGTCTGAGGACTTCGTTTTTGCTTCTTTTTGTTTCCGGTTTTTCCCCCTTTTTGTTGTTTCTGTAAATATAAACCTCAAAGGGCTGACGACTATAACCAAGTAAAGTGTGTCTAGAACAGAGTTATTAGCTTAGCGGCTTACAACAACAAACCAAGTGTAACCCCACTAGTGGGGTCTGGGGAGGGTAGAGTGTACGCATACCTTACCCCTACCTTCTTCCTTAAGAAGGTAGAGAGGCTGTTTCCACTAAAAAAAAAATTGTTTAGCCAAGATTCGATAAACCACTTTTTATAATTCAAATGTCCAACATGGTACATATTGTATAGAACAGCGTAATGCAACATTATATCCATATGAATATGATGTTAGAGATGTAATCGTTACCGGAAGCTCGTTCTTAGACCTGATGGGTCCTTTAACACCTGAATCCTCCTCCTCATCTTCGCTCCAAGCAACCATCTCATCTACATCTACATCAGATGTTTGTATCTCACCTTCTTCCAATTCCATCGCCCCTTTGATTCCCCATCCCTTTCTATCCTCTCTTCTTTTTCCTCCCTCATCACTACTCGTGAACTCGGACAACGATGAACAAGATGAACTCTCTATATCAGACTCAGAATCACTATCACCACCTTTTGACACATCACTCTTTCCTGTGTTTTTCTTCTCACTTGTCACATTTTTTTCCTCATCCCTACTAATATTTTCACTCTCCCTAACAATATCACTACCACTACTATTTATACTAACTTTACCCATCTTCTCAATTACCCCCATTTTACTCTTTTCAAGATTCAAATAATTCAATTTTTCACAACCCTCTACATCCCCTTCCTTTTCAACTTCAATTTTCCCACAAATACCATCAATACCCACATCACCATCTCCGTCAACAGCGTCAAAAACTTCAACTTCCTTACAAATTCCACTAATACCCACCTCATTATCCCTGTCAACAGTGTCAAAAAAGTCAGCTTTCTCACAATTTCCACCAATACCCACCTCATTATCCCTTACAACGGCGCCAGAAACTTTAACTTTCTCAGAAATTCCACCAATAACCACCTTATCATTTCTGTCAAAAACTTCAACTTCCTCACAAATCCCACCAATACCCACCTCATTTTCTCTGTCAATGGCGTCAAAAATTTCAACCTTTTCACAAATTTCACCAACACCCACCTCATTACATCCATTAACAGTGCCAAAAACAGCTTCTTCATTACAAACCTCAAATGGGTCTTGTTTCACATCAGCCATACTATCTACTGTGGGGCTCTCAGCAAGAAAATCCTTTAAGGAATCAAAATCAAGAAAAGAATCAGCAAAAGAGCAAGAGAACTCGTCTAGGTCAGGGGTAAATATGTCAAATGGGTCAGTTTCCTGCTTAAGCTCTGAAGAAGTTTGATTCTTGATGTCTTGTTCAAGGTCATTATTACCTATTATGGGATCATTATGCAAAAAACCCACCATGTTTAAGGAATATAATTAGGGTTCTTAAAAGAGATTTCATAATAGTTTTAGGAGAGAAAATGTGGGTTTATATATACGGATATGTAGAGTAACGTACGGATTTTGAACTGAGGCATTGCTCGCGGCAAAAGCCGGTTCTTAAACCCTAGGGTTTAAGGGTTCGGAATATTTTAGAAGGCTAAAAGTTTCTTTCTGGAAAATAAAAGAAGAAAAGGCCACAGTATAAATGGACTCTACTTAGGTACATCGGGCTTGGGCTTATAAGCTCTTTACTCATCACAACAACATAAAAGACGTCTCGAGCCTTGACTAAATCCAAAAAAAAAAAAAGGAAACTTTATTTGACTACCGGACATAAATAATTTGATCGTAGTGATCTTTAAAGGGGGTTTGACACAGTTACCCACAAAAATAAAACTATATATCCTTGTCTACCCATTTATTTTTCTACCCATAAGCTAATTACATTTCCTACCCATAGTAGTTTTTGGTAGGAATTTTTTCTTTATTTTTCCAATTCTTTTTTATTTCTATGATTCTTTTCTTTTTTTCCTTTTTTTATTTCTTTTCTCCTTTTCTTTTTTCTCATTTTCTTCCTAGTTTTTTCTTTTTTCTCTTTTATTCATTTATTTTTGCCTAAATCGTATTATTGTTATCTTTATCATAACTTATTTCACACTCAAATTTGACTCCTTCTTTACTTTTTTTTTCCTTATTTCTTGTTCCTTTTCTAATTTCACATGATTGCCATGCAAACCTTGATCTCCCTCCCTACAAATATCAGTACATACTCTACCATTAGCAGTAACACCAACCAGTGATGGAGCAAGAAAACATAATCTACGGCCACTAAATCTCCATATATACTAGTTAGAATAGAAATGATAATAAAATATTAAAAAATACAGTAAAAATATAAGTAGCAAAAAAGACTTCTAGTACCATATGTTACCAATATGGTATACATGTATACCAACAGAGTATATGATTGCTCTAGAATATTGCTACAACTATCTGTGACTATACTACTATACCAAAACATTAAAGGATACAATAAAAGTATGAGAAAATTACATGCTCGCATTGCAAGCTAAATATCCGCAAAGCAACTTGCTCATTCCATATACGAACAGGGTATATAGTTGTATGGGTCGTTCCAACAATTGCCCATAATTATTAAAAACTAGTACATAATCTATATCCATCAGCACAAAAAAATTCCAGCACTGCAAATCACGTTCATATAAATAATTTCAGAATAGAATTCACTTAAAAATGTAGCCAAGACAACCAAAAAAAATGTTCAAACTACCATATGATACCAATATGGTATATAACTATACCAACATGGTATACAGTTTTACTGGTTAATTCCCTGCAACTATATGACTATACTACTATTACATAACACACATGCATAAAGAGAAAAATAAAAAAAATAGTGCACCACATATTAATATAATAAGTATTTCAAGATATTGTACTATATTACTATTATTAAAAGAAAATCAAATATTGTACTAATAAATGCAGCTAATACAACCAAAAAATAATTCAACTAGCATGTGATACCAATATAGTATATAGCTATACTAATAGGGTATATAGTTTGAATGAATTGGTATATTTGTATACTATTTGAGTATACAATACAAATTCGTCTTCTTCTCTTGTTCAACTATATTTCAACCCAAACTTCTAAACCTGCCAACAAGTCATATACCACTACTCAAACTTATTCCAACCTTCAGAACACTCAAAACAACATCAAAATATTAGATCACCTTCGAATTCAAGCCTAAGGATTCCAAAACCTCCGAATTTCGCAAACGATGTAAAAACCTATCAAACCTTATCCGAATGACCTGAAATTTTGCACACACATCACAAATGACACAACGGACCTACTCCAATTTCCGAAAATCTAATACGACCTCGATATCAAGATTTCCACTATCGACCGGAAAACGCCAAATTTCTAATTTCTCCAATTCAAGCCTAAATCTACCACGGACCTCCAAAATACATTCCGAACACGCTCATAAGTCAAAATTTGTGATTATATAAATAACTTCACAAATTGGTAGCAAATTGAAATCTAAGAAATTTTTATTCATTTTTTATAGATCTTTCTTTCTTAACTTTTTTTCTGGGACAAATGATAAAGATAGGAGAGGGAGGTAGATAGATCAAATGTCTTATGAAAAAATATAGGGACATTGACAAAAGAAAGAGAAAGAGCGGAGAAAAGGATAGGAGAAAAAGAGAAAAGGAGGAGAAAAGTTAGCTTTAACAAGCCACAATAGGAAGAAGGATTAACGGGTAATTACTTTTAGTTGCATAGGTACATATTGTAATTATTTATAGAATAGGTAAAGGCGGGTAATTTTTTTGGGTAGAATAGGCATATAGCATAATTTGCTCATCTTGAAAGGGGGGATTTGCAGCGGTACCCATTTTTTATGCCACCTTTTAACCTATACCCTGTTTTTAAAAATTATTGATTTCGTAACCAACTAACAGAAAATCCGTATTAATATGACCATTATACCTCTTCCAAAACATATAAAAGTGCGTCTCTCCTCCGTATTCACATATTCAAATTACAGATCTCCTCCGTATCTCCTCCATCAGTCAGTTCCTCCTGAGAACGCGTCTCGTATTCAAATTCCATATTCAAATTCAAATTCAAATACATTGTAAGTATTCAAATTCATCTCCAGAATTCAAAATAGTTTTTGAATTTTATGTTTTCTGGTTGTTTGACGAATTTCAGTGAAGGAATATAAATTCCATATTCAAATCAAATTCATCTCCAGAATTCAAAATGTTTTCTGATTAATTCACTGAATTCTAATTTAATGTGATATGTTAGTAACATATTGCACTAAAAAAACTTCGGCCTAACAGCTGAAGTTTTTTATTTTTTACTTAAAAACTTCAGAGGGAGCCTAAAAAAACTTCGGCCTAACAGCTGAAGTTTTTTATTTATTACTTAAAAATTTCAGAAGGAGCCTGAAATTTTTCTCCTACACTGGCTAAATTAAAAAATCATATTGCACTAAAAAAACTTCGGCTAACAGCTGAAGTTTTTTATTTATTACTGAAAAACTTCAGCATATTTTCCACATACACTGGCTAAATTAAAAAATCATATTGCACTAAAAAACTTCGGCCTAACAGTTGAAGTTTTTTATTTATTACTTAAAAACCTCAGCAGGAGGCTGAAGTTTTCCACATACACTGGCTAAATTAAAAAAATGATATTGCACTAAAAAACTTCGGCCAAGCAGCTGAAGTTTTTTTGTTATTACTCAAAAACTTCAGCAGGAGGCTGAAGTTTTCCACATACACTGGCTAAATTAAAAAATCNTTCCGTTTATCTCCATTTCTTGCCTCCCATTTCTCTATAAAAGCATACACAGACCACAACAGTAGGGAAAAAAAGAAGAAAAAAGTTTGCTAATTATTTCAAAAGAAGATGATATTGGGGAAGATGGGACGACGTCCTTCAATGAATAGGACGACAAGCATGACAGGGATAGCCGTTGATGTAGTGAACGCCGGAGAACCAGAACCGTCTGATGTTGTTGATGAGTTTAAAGTCAATGGATACGATCATAACAATCAAAATTCCATAGCCATAGTCTTGCCGAAATACCACCAGAGAAGTTCAAGTGTAGGTTTTCAGATAGAAGAGACGGCTCATTTCTTGAAAACCTGTGGCCTTTGTAATCGTCGTTTAGCACCTGGTCGAGATATCTACATGTACAGGTAAACACACACGAATTTAACAGCGTAAAGAATTTTTATACTATCAACGTATTTTAATATCTGTTGCAACATGTAACATGCCATATTTTTTAGGTTAATAATTTCACTTTTTACGAATATTTACTATATTTACTGTAGTATATTTTTAGCTGAACCGATAGTATTTAAAAAATCTTTTACACCGTCAATATATAGAAGTTAAAGTCCACATGTGCATATACTTCCCTTTTGTGCTTCTTCTTGATAACAAGTTCTCAGTCAGCTAGCAATTAGAAGGCATGAATTTTTTAAAGCAATTTGAGTAGGCGATTGGACATAAAAATTAGTATAATTTTTGGAAAAAATAGTATTTGGAGTTAAGAAAATGATATTTCGAATTTGAAATTATGTTTGGACATGTATTTCACCTGAAAAATGTTACAGTTTTATGAGTAGGAAAATAAGAATTTCTGAAATTTTGAACTGAGATAACCAGAATAAGTGAAAAGAAAAAGAGATTTCTATTTTCGGAAGACTTGTTGTATTATTGGTCAATTAGTTTATTGCATTATGAACTATCAATGTGTCTTTTTATAAATTTTGTGGGGCAACAATTATTGACATATGAAACCACAGAAAAATAAAATATATTACTCATTCATATTAAACCTTTTAGATTAATCAAATTGTTGACTAATATAGATCTTGTATGTGAACAGGGGAGATACTGCATTTTGTAGTATGGAGTGTAGGGAACAACAAATGAAAAAAGACGAAAGAAAGGAGAAATTAAAGCTTATCCTTTCAAAGAAGACTGAAAACCATCACAACCACTCAGAATTGCATTCTGCTAACTCTGAAACTTCTGGCAAGAGTGAAAGTATTGCAGCGGCCTGAAGGAAAAAGAAATATAGTTAATTAAAGAAGAAAAAAAGGAGAAGAGAACCACGTGTATTAACTTACTATATATTAGCCTAAATAATTTTTATAGTATCAGTATAATTCAAAATGCGAGGATCATATTTAATTACCCTGCATCTCAGGAAAGGTTGGTTTGATAACCATTTCGTAGAATTTGAATTGATAAATGTTCAAATTCTAATAGTTGTTGCTTGAGTTTTTCTAGATTTAGTTAGAGTTAAATTTGTTCAGAATTTATGTCCGCCTTAAAAAATGACTATTGATTAGTATATTTCAAATAGTAGCTAAATATTCATAGGCCATGCCAAAATCGACCATCCCACCTATTTCATAGAGGTAGCAACTCTAAAGGACTGTTATTTAGGAATTAGTCAATGTGTCCTGAATTTCAGTTTTCTAATTCAATTTTTTGGGACAAAAATGTCCCGAATTGTCCTAAATTTGAGATTTTTGATTCAAATTTTCAATGCAAAATAAATACTAGCTAATCCCTAAATAGCAACTCTAGGAATGGCCATCCGTGTACTCCCCCCTCCCTTATAAACACCGTAATGAATAGACTTGGGCTTGTCACTGAGTTCAAGTTGCACTTCTACAGCCCAATGCAATCACTTCTCTCAAACGAAAGGAAAATTTTGGGTGAAATTCAAAAATAGCCCACCTTTTAACCTATACCATGTTTTTAAAAATTATTGATTTCGTAACCAACTAACAGAAAATCCGTGTTAATATGACCATTATATCCCTTCCAAAACATATAAAAGTGCGTCTCTCCTCCGTATTCACATATTCAAATTACAGATCTCCTCCGTATCTCCTCCATCAGTCAGTTCCTCCTGAGAACGCGTCTCGTATTCAAATTCCATATTCAAATTCAAATTCAAATACATTGTAAGTATTCAAATTCATCTCCAGAATTCAAAATAGTTTTTGAATTTTATGTTTTCTGGTTGTTTGACGAATTTCAGTGAAGGAATATAAATTCCATATTCAAATCAAATTCATCTCTAGAATTCAAAATGTTTTCTGATTAATTCACTAAATTCTAATTTAATGTGTGATATGTTAGTAACATATTGCACTAAAAAAACTTCGGCCTAACAGCTGAAGTTTTTTATTTATTACTTAAAAACTTCAGAAGGAGCCTGAAATTTTACTCCTACACTGGTTAAATTAAAAAATGATATTGCACTAAAAAAACTTCGGCCAAGCAGCTGAAGTTTTTTTGTTATTACACAAAAACTTCAGCAGGAGGCTGAAGTTTTCCTCCTACTGCTGAAGTTCTCCCTCCAACACTAGCTAAACTAAAAAATCATGTTGCACTAAAAAAACTTCGAATAAGCAGCTGAAGTTTTTTTGTTATTACTAAAAAAACTTCGAATAGTTCGTTTCCTCTGCTATTTTTTGAATTTAAATAGAATAAATATTAAAAGAAACGCAGAAAAAACTTATAACAAAAACTTAATATTTCATTAAAACACAATAAAATATAAAAACAAATTATATAAATAAACAAAACAAAAAAATTAATCGTCCATTCCATCATCATCATCATCATCATCATCATCGTTGTCGCTTCTAGATGGACGAGCATCTTCATCAGCAAGATTGTCAAATCTTGCATACATCACAAGCGTATCAAGCTTGTTCTTAATTTCTTTGAGCTCCTTGTCGTACTTTTCTATCAGCTCATCAATCTTCAACTCAAATGCCTCCATTATGTCTTGCTTGATCTCGTCCACTATTTGCCTAATGACAGCATCCATTTTTCTCCTTTTTGTATTTTATATCTGCTAAAATGTATGTGTTTGAGTGAATAAACTCAGAAGGAATAGCGTGCTTATATAGGGGGAAAAACTTTTGCATGGTATATGAAAAGGCAAAAAGGAATTTTAAAGGTTGTCTAATGAAAAGCATGCATGAATATGATATGAATGTATTTATTACACTAACACATACCCCCAAACGCAATATAGTTACTACTTTAATTGTGTAGGTTAATGATGTATACTATGTAATTAATGCTGAAACATGCTATCGTTTTCTGTAAAAAACTTCGGATTAATCTCCTGAAGTTTTTTAGTTCATTTCTAAAATCTTCAGCACGTACCAGCTGAAGTTGTTTCCTCTGCATTTATGAATCACCATGATAAAAAAAACTTCAGCTAATATGCTGAAGTTATTAAGGTTATCTCTAAAAACTTTAGCAGTTATAAGCTGAAGTTTTATTTGCAGAATTCATTAATTATGTCATAGATCTTTTTCCAAAAAAACTTCAGCAGAAGATGCCTAAATGATTTAGTTTATTTGTAAAAACTTCAGCACATACAACATAAAAATTCTTCTGTTCACTTTCCTAATAGTTGCCACTAAACATGAATCTGCAGGATGAGTTCGATTTGCGTTGTTATAACATTCAATGGGAGATGGACTCTTGATTTCAAATACTTGGATCATGATACAAAACTTGTTCTACTTAATAAGGACATATCATTCAATACTTTCCTGAAGAAAATTAGTGAAGTTGCAAATATAGATTCAACCAAATATGCATTAAAAGTATGGTCTGATATCAAACTAAATACAAGCAAAGGAATGCTTGTAACTTCAGATGAAGAACTCACTACCTGTATACATTTGCTTACAACTGATTCACCCTACAAGAATTGCCATTTTGTCATCGAAAAAATACAACTTTCAGAATCAGCAGCATTCAACCAATCTCTTGCATATGCAATAGATTCAGAGCCTATTGCTGAGTATCAATATGAAGTACGACAGCCAGTAATGGAAGTAGACAAAGGGCAACAACCTTCTATCATTACAGCTCCTTCACAACAATTATCCCCTCCGCCAATAAATTCATACCAGTTTCTCAATGACCAAGAAGAAGAAGGACAGCTAATAATGCAAATTGACAACCAACACAAAATCCAACAAAGCTTTTTTTCACCTTCTGCAATGATAAATAACAATGAAGATGAAGTAAACATGGAGCTTATACCGATAACATCACATAGAATTGAAGAAATTGCTGAAAGTTCTTCTGCTTCTCAGAAATCAAGAAAAAGAGTGAGGAGAAAGGTCAAAGAATCTCCACCATGTAAAATACTAAGGCACGATTCATTACCTGAGGAAGTAAGAGTTGGATCAATCTTTGAGAACAAAGAAAACATGACTAAATTTTTCTGCAGCTTGGAGATAAATCAAAAAGTTGAATTCACTGCTGTTAGATCATGTTCCAAGAGATACGAGCTGAAATGCATCGTGGACAAATGTGGTTGGAATGTACGTGCCACCAGAATAAAAAATTCCACACTGTTCAAGGTGATAAAATATCATAACATCCATGAATGCTCGGTTGATGCAAGAAAATCAGATCAGAAGCATGCTACATCAAATTTTATAAGCGAACAAATTATAGAACATGTTCGAGACAAAAAGATAGAGGTTACACCAGCCTTTGTAGAAAATGAAATGAAAAAGAAATTTGGAATTGACATTGGTTATCACAAGGCATGGCGTGCTATTCAAAAAGCTGTTGCTTGCATAAGGGGAACACCTGAAGAGAACTACCAGATTCTTCCTTCATACCTACACATGATGGTGGCCAAAAACCCAGGAACGTACACAAGCATAAAAAGAGATGCGCACAATAGGTAAGGAAAACAATACTAACAATCAGCCTGAAATTTCAAATGTTACTATTTGAAAAACTTCAAACCTTATAATTTGTTTTTCTGTGTTTCAATGTACAGATTTGCTTACTTGTTCTTTGCTCCTGCGGCATCACTAGCTGGTTGGTCCTACTGTAGACCTGTTATTGCAGTAGATGCAACGTTTTTGAAGTCAAAATATCGTGGTGTTCTATTTGTTGCTGTATCAAAGGATGCAAACAATCAAATCTTTCCTTTATGTTTTGGTGTAGCAGATTCAGAAAACAATGAGGCATACATTTGGTTCTTTGGGGAAATGAGAAAAGCAATTCAAGTTCGTCGTGAACTGGTTTTCTTGTCAGATAGAAACCAATCGATCGCAAATGGTATTAGAAGAGTTTTTCCTGAAGCTCACCATGGTATCTGCCTATATCACTTTGAGAAAAATTTAAAGCAAAGACATGCAAAGGCCATGGTAATAAATCTTTTTCAAAGTGCTGCAAGATCATACAAACGTGAAGATTTTAATCAGTTAATGTCCCAACTCAAAAGTATTGACAAGAAAACATACAATTACATAATGGAAGAGCCTCCTGAGAGATGGGCTCGATCGTGGTTCCCACGGCGACGTTATGATATGCTAACAACAAACATGGTAGAATCAATGAATTCCGTTTTACTAAAAGGGAGAGAAATGCCTATTTTAAGAATGTTAGATTTCATCCAAGAAAAGCTGGGAGAGTGGTTTTATGAACGGAGAAAAAAGGCAAATGAAACTTTTCACAGAGTATCAATATGGGCAGAAGAAGAGATGACTAAGAAGATGGACTTGGCTTGCAAAATGTTTGTGAGTATATTTGTTAACTTCAGCTTTTTAGATCTGTTGCAGTGATTTACTGCTTACATTTAAAAAATTTCATACTTTTTCGTTTTGAAGGAAAAATACACTAATATAATTTGTTTTAATTTTTTATTCCTTGTTAGGTGTTCAACCTTGACTCAATGTTGTTTAGAATAAATAGTGAAGGAATCGAATTCATTGTGGACTTAAAGAAGAGAACTTGTGACTGCCTGGAATTCCAACTTGATGAATTGCCCTGTCCACATGCAATTGCTGCTATTAATAAGAGATATTTGCAGAAATCTGATTACTGCTCAAATTGGTATTCAACGGAAACATGGTTGAAAACATATGAAGGGCATGTGAATACCGTGGGAGATCAACAATCATGGGAAATACCAGAAAATGTACAATCTGAAATCACAAAACCTCCCGATGTAGAGATTTTACAAGGAAGAAGACAAAAGAAGAGGCATATACCTGCGACTGAATCATCAGTACCATTCAAGTCTACCAAATGCAGTCGATGTAAACAAGTGGGGCATAACAGAACAACTTGCTTGTCTTCTCCAGCACCTCATCCATATTCCAAAAAACACACTGTAAAATACT